TAGACATGCCGTAGAAAGCAGAGGGCAAACACATCCTTGAAAGCCATGCTTCCCTGGTTTCTGTGCTCTTGCTCAAAGGTTATATATTTTTATTATTTCAGGTTCTCCCCTGCTGCTGTTGCTGCTGGCAGCTCCAGCCACATTGATTTAGCTCAGTGCCTTGCATACTGAGTAGCCCTTGCGATGCAGTGAGAACAGGTTTTTCTTGGCGAGCGCCTGATGAGCCCCTTCCGGGAAAATGAAAAGTCAACAGCTCGGGGATCCTCCTTCGCTTGAGTTCTTTAGGCTCAGATACCAACAAGTCTACTCCTCCTTATTGCAGCTAAGGTTAACAGGACACCTGCACATTTCAGCGTGGTAGACGTGCTCAGTATCGTTTTCAGAGCACTGCTCATTTCCTTCTGGGGTTGTATCCTGAGACAACGGTAATGAAAGGGGTCGGAGCAAGAGCTGCAGATGCATGTCCACTATCTGTCCTCAGAACAACTACAACATAGGCAGCTTCAGAGCAGACTGATCCAAACTGTGTCACTGGTGAGTCTCAGATACACCAAATGCTCAGTCTCAGCAATGAGACTATTAAAAACACGGCTCCTCGTTGGCAATGGCTGTGATTTTTGCAACGGGCACTTGCGACCAGTGGGAATGAGAGGAAGGCTTCTGACTCCTCTCGTACAGGACCGCACGCAGCTGCTTGATGGCAACATCTGTTGGCTACTAATGGTCTGAGCTGCATTTGAGCTAAGATAAAAATGTGTATCCCATTCGCAGTCCCATGAAAATGAGGGACCATCTCCCCAGCCCAGGCCATGTCCTTCCTTCATGGTGCTGCAGTAGAATAAAGGGCCCTTCAACTGAACTAATAGGGGAGTTCAGGATTCGGGGACAGAAGAGGACCCCCCCGCCAAAGCCAGCATGGCTGACTAATGTCACCTCCTTCCTCCTTTCCCTGTGTAGAAAGCGCTCTGAAATGTGGCCAGAGCCGAAAGGAGCATGACTCCAGTGCAGCATGTGCCAGTGATCCTAGGCCAGGAAAAGCATCCCTCAGGGATTGTCCCATTTGGCACCCATCGATGACCATTTGGCTGCTCTGACTTGCAACAGAGGTGGTTTTGCTGTAGGCGCAGGCCCGGGATAGGCGGAGGGGGAAGGTGGCTCAGAGCCATCTTAGCCTGCCTCCCTGAGCTCAGTGCTGCTGAGGATTCGGCTCCGTGGCGTAAACTCGATGAAATATGGCACCTGTTAGGTTCACATTTTTACCCCAGGGAACTTGATAGCAACTTACCCTTTCTGTGGGCATTTGGAGCTGTCCTGGAGAGTAAAAGGAAACTGCATCCTTGCCATAGCGTCGTGTCTGATTGGAAGGGCAGGTGTGACTGATGCCATTTTCTGTTCAATTCTGTAGGATTTTAGAATCACAGACAATGAGGGTTGAAGGGACCTCGGGAGGTCACATCTAATCCAGACCCCTGCTCAAAGCAGGACCAGCCCCAACTACATCCTCCCAGCCAAGGCTTTGTCTAGCCGGGTCTTAAATGCTTCCAGGGATAGAGAGTCCACCACCTCTCTGGGTAACCTGTTCCAGTGCTTTGCTATCCTCCTTATGAGAGTTTTTCCTAATATCTAGTCTCTGCTTCCCTTGCTGCCACTTGAGCCCATTGCTCCTTGTCCTGTCATCTGTCCTCACTGAGAACAGTCCAGCTCCATCCTCTTTGCAGCCCCCCTGCAGGGAGGTGAAGGCTGCTATTCAATCCTCCTTGGGCTTCTCTTTTGCAGACTAAATAAGTCCAGTTCCCTCAGCCTCTCCTCACCAGCCATGTCCCCCAGCCCCAAGCCATTTAAGATGCCCTTTTATTGACTGGATCCATTAAATGTATAGATCCTTTTCTAGAAGGGTAATATTTTGGCATTAGGAAGAAGTGAGCATTGCATGGGAGGAACGCCGGCGGGAAGTCATTCCTCCAGACTGTTTCCCACAGGCTAACAAGCTGCACACAGAAGGGTTCAACCCTTTTGTCTCGAGGGATGAGGCCCACCCTGCTCAAAGGGGATGGAGCCCGTCCTGCTCAAAGGTCTTCTCTGCTCCTGTCTCTAGCATCTTTTGTTCACTGGAGCCCAGATGGTGCCCGTGTGACCGGTTTGCAGGGTAGTGAGTGGTCATGTGCCAGGCTTATCTTTTGTAGGGTCTGTTAAAGCCAACATCCCATGCTGCGTGCGCGGTTCCCATTATGTGAAGCGTGCTCGCAGAGTGTTTGATGGATGCGTCCTGTAGATCTGAGAATAACCGTGGCCCGCACGCACCTGTCAGTGTCATTGTAGCTGCTGGCAAAGCCTGCGCGATGATTTTCTGTGCTGCAGAAGCAAGGTAAATATCCTGGGGTTTGTAATAAATTTGCCGTGGGCTAAGGACCATTCCAGATTTGCCAGGCTGCATTTCTGTCCTGCTTCACCTGCCGTGTGTTGAGGGCCAGGTTCATACCACACTGTCAGCACAGGCCTTTGAACATCCACAGCGTCTGCCTGATCCACCGAGCCGGCGCCTCGCAGGCAGTGGCACTGGGAGCTTTGCAAGCTTCACTCGCCGTCCCAGCCTGTCTTCTCCGGCAGGGACCAGCTCCAGGGCTCATGGCTCCCAAGACCCTTGCATCCTGCATCTGTGCTGAGACTTCTAGCAAAGTTTCCAGTCAGTGCCAACATGGACTTTGAATTTGCTGCCGTGGATATGTGGCCCTGGAAACTGGCCACATGGCTTACAGGGCAGCCACTAATAGCTACTGCCCTCCTCAGGGCAGATGTGGACCAATAAACTAAAACTTTTCTGTAGCTTTTGCTCGTCTTCCCCAACCTCTTCAGTCCTTTTTTTTTTTTATTTAAAGAATACTAATTTTAGATTCTAAAATCTAATTCCCTCACAATTAAAGCTGCATTAGCAATGACCGTTTTGCTAGTATTTAGGGAAATGTACTTAATTATAAACTACATGCTCCATAAAAATGCTAAGCTCCTTCAAAAGGTTAACAAATAGCAAAATAATAAAAATCTAGATGGAAGTTCCTTCCATCTTTGTAGGAAGTGATGACATAAAAATACGTTTGTGGGGAAAATTAAGCATAGTAATTGGTGCAAGTTCCTTCTTACTAAGCAAAGGTAGCCATTAGCATCTCATTTGCATTTTATACCATGCAGCAGGAAATATTTAAGTTGACAAATAGGATATTTAATACAGCAACAGATACTTGGCAGTTAGTTATTAACAACTGTTACAGATGTGATTTATTCGCTATTATAAAAAGGGCATTACTATGTGAATATGATTCAGAAATTAACTCCAGTTTACCAAGAGGCCTTGACTGCCTGACCTCTTAATATCCTTATAATGATGCCATTTACCATTCAAAGGCTTATTCAAGTCACTCACTGCTAGATTTGTTTTAAAGGAGTCCACTCTAGGGCAGATATTTTATATAGGTTAACACGTCTTATTGGTGCCTATTTGGCACAGGCATTTTTTAAAGAGGAAAAACTCCGAGGCAAAATCACGTGGAGGCTTGCATGAGTACAGGAGTTGTGGGGGGACAGTTCAAGGACCTTCCCTTCCTTTATCCCCCCTGGACCAGGCCAGCAGTTCTGGCATTGCCCGATGCGCAAAGCCCATCTGAGATGAGTGCTATTGCCAACAAGCAGGTGAGGGGCTGAGATCAAAGGGGAGCAGATCCCAGAGCCTATTCAGATCTACCACAAAGGCCTCCCTGCTTCCCTTCCTCTGTGGTCCCCAGAGCTGTATTGAACTGTAGGATGCTTCAAGAAGCTGTTGCCCCCCAACATTTGTTGGGAAGTAAAGGCCCAGGAGCCTCTAGTATTCATGAAAATACAATTTAATTTCTCATAGCAGAAGCCTGTTGCTGCTGTTATCGGAGGCAGAGGGCTCCATGTGTTTGCTGCAAGACATTTGTTAAATCAGCCAAGATGGGCCAGTGGTTAGAGTACTAGCCTAGGATTTGGGAGTTCCTGGGTTCATCACGTAGGTCCATCACAGAGGTATTTAAGTGCCTGACTCACTGATTTCATTGAGGGTGGGGGCATCTGAATACCTTGAAGGAGCTGGATCATAATGTGTCTGAGCCTCAGGTCCTCAGGCCTTTCCCCACCACCCCTTAAAGAGGGTGAGGTGCCCAAACCTGCTGGATGGCAGGGGCTGTCCAAGCCTAAATGGTGTGCGTGCACACATGTTTGCACTTGTGTTGGTGCACCAGGGAGTAGTTAGAGGTACAATGATCAGGCTTGTGCAGAGGGAGGATTTTACAGGTGCATGCATCACTTCCAGCTTTAAAATTGAAGGGCCTGACTCCCTGCTCACTGCTCCACAGATGTAAATCTGGGGTAACCCACAGTTGGTGGCAGGGAAGCAGAACCAGGCCACACATCACATTGTTTGCTACATACAGGACAAAGCACCCACTCCCAAGGTCACACACTTTGAACAGGAACATGCTTTGCTAAAACCTTGGATGACTAATGCATGTTTTATGTACAAGTAGGGGTGCTTCCTGCATTTAACGGTCCCTTTTGTTCACTGTTTCACTGTGCCCTCTGGGCCCTCCTTGTTTGCATCCCATAAAAGCTTTCCTGGTCTCTGGAGGGTTTTTTTTAAATGTAATAATTCTTCAGGGATTAAAAAACCCTTACGTGAATTATTAGGATCAGTTGTGAGTGGCTCCACCCAAGGAGTTAATCTACAGGCAGCTCCTTAATTCATGCTAAAACCTTTTGCAGTGGGTTTAGTGAGTTGCTTAGGAGTTTATTACTGAGCTTTTGCATGTTCTCTGGTGGATTATGTTAAAAAAAAAAGGGTAACAGGTTTGGTTTTCTTGTTCAGAAATAGTTTCTTTATTTCGGTCAAGTAAGTAATGTCCTGGCACACTTAAAAGCCAGGGGAGTATCTGCTTCATTAAATCAACTGGGTGGGTTCTGCTTTTTTTGTCTGCTTGTGTTTTGATTAGGTATGGGCAACAGACCTTGACCTCTACTACAGTGACCAGCTGGCCCTCACTCAGCTCATGTTGTATGTGACAGATGGAAATCTGGATTGTAGCTCTGGTCGCCTTGAAGTACCACTTCCCTGTATGAAAATGAAGAGCCAAAGTGTTCAAACTGGGGAGGCCAAAATCGTAAGTAATGCTTCGCGCACCGGTGTTCGATTGAGGCATGTCTGGTAGAAAAGTCCATACCCCAGGCAAGTGGCCCAATAGCTGGACTGTTCACTAAAAGGTGGGGACAAGAGTGGAAGAAATCAGTACTTTCTCCCTCTGCTATTCCTATTTAGACTTGTCTTCAAAGAAAGGATTGACCCTTGTAGACGGACCTTGGAGTGGTGGAGGTATCCGGCTGCAGGAGAGAGGTCCTGGCTGTGAATTCCCAGGGGAGGGAAGCCTCTGCCTGCAGACCGGAGTTGGGCATGTTAGTCCCAGAGAGGCCTGGGCTTAGGACACACTCTTGTCTTCGGTGTCTTTCTTGGCTACCATCAGTAGCTCTCCACTCAACCTGCTGGCTGTTGTGTATCCCTGTCTGCGGTGCCTGCAGAATGGGATACACAGGCAGCAGGCACCTAAATCCACTCTGGATTTTGTTCTGGTAGCTGGGGATGAAGCAACGAGTGCTGTGCAGCTTACATCCTTTGGAGGATCTCATGACTCTGAGCTCAGATCTGTCCAGCGTGGCGGCATTAATACTGCCCAGTGTCACTGGGATGTTGCAAAGCTAAATAAGCCAGTGTTTTAAAAATACTTCGATATCGTCATAAGAAGTGTGCCATGCACGCAGTGGTATTATTTGTTGTATCATCTATAGTGGGTCATGGTTTAGAGGTCTCACAACCATGAGATTGTCCTTATAATGACAGCTCACCTGTGTGGAAGGCAGGGCCAAGTAAAATCCTCTAGAGAAAGTCAGGGTGAGTTAGGAGATGCTTGCAAAGCAACCGCCATGCTCATGCCATTGGCCAGAAGGTGCAGCCCCCATTTTGTAAGGGGAGGAGAGATGTTGCACCATCCCCAAAGTGTCAGGGAGCTGTAATTTAGAGGTTAAGGAGATCCTGATCTATTGTTCTTCTCAAGCAGCCACTTTCACTTGGAGAGGAGTAAATTAGATATGATTAGTCCCAGTAGTGCATGTTTTAGAAATGAAGAGTAATCAAGTAACAACTTTTTTAATTAAAAATCTGTCAGGATTAACATAAACTGTCTCTCTATCCTGTACTTTTTCCCTCGCTCTTTATTTCTTTGGCTCTTATCTCCTTAAGAGTTAACTACAAAAATGTTCCATCTTCATACATATCTCTAGAAAAAAAAACAAACCAAGAGACAAATGCTTTTACAGCACATGATCTGTAATGAATGATTAAGTAAAACACTTTGTGTAAAATTATGATGTTAATAATGATTCTGTCCCCTTTAATTTATTATATAGTCTCTGTGCTGGTAGGTTTGATTTTGATAAACTAGAACAGCAACTGAGTTTGTGTGATGATTTTATTTTTAGAAATCCTTCTTTGAAAGAACAAATTTCCTAGATACTGCTGCTACTGTAATTATGTACAAAACCAATCACTCATTATAGTTAGGATACATTATCTTCCAGACAGATGAGGCTAAATAAGCAACACATTAATAATTCATACTGCAGTTCATTATGCATGTGTATGCATGCTTTGTAGCTGAAATAAGCACCTCATCAACCTGATGCCAAGCCTTAAACAATAGTTCTGTGTTATTGCAGCCACATTCAAGTTTACGCTTGTTAAACTGCTACTTGGATTATTTTATCAAGCATTCATTTATTTGTGGTCCTCTACTGCCGAGAACAGATTTTGGAAGCTCCTTTTTTAAGTTAATGACTTGAGCAATGGGTGTTATTAATTCTCAGAATATTATAAACATGATTAATTTTCAGGCAGAGATGTATGGCGTAAGGATTTTTGCGACGTCGACATAGATGCGTCAGTGTCGAAACAAAAATCATTTTGGAAAAAACACTGTAAATTATATGCTTCAGTGTGCAGTATCCCCTTTTCAAGAATGAAGAGCCCAGTCCTTCCACCAGCTCAAGCCAAGGTTCAGTTCAGCATCTCTGTTCAAGACCAGACCTAAGCAAAGCTTAATTCCTGTGCTGAAAAGGGATGGTACTGAGCAGGCACTTGCATGCTTTACTGAATCTCAGCCACTGTGCCAGCCCCACTGATGACACCAGGTGTGCTCACGTGAGCACTGCCCCTCCTGGTAAGTGCATAGGGACCTGCTGAGCCAGAGAGAAACAAGCCATGCCCACTCCAACTGAGTGGGCAGCGTAGAGCGGTACTGAGCACATGGCCAAAGCCACTCACCACCCACAAAATGGGCATGTGTGAAGCAGGAGCTAGTGGGAAGGGCTTGCTTCTTTGTGGCAGTCTAGGGCTTGAGAGAAAGGCAGCACAGATGCAGCTTGGGGAACTTGAAACTGCAGCTGGAAGACATATGCGTGAAAAATAATCTTTACAGTTTTCTTCTGTGCTATTAAGGACTCGGAGGCGAATCAGATATGACACATTCAAAGATCCCCCCTGATACAGCAAGGGAGACCCCCCTAACTGCAGCAGCACAGAGGGCAAACTAGTGTGAGGCTGCCAGGGAGAACAAAACTCAGTGTCTGTGGCCACGTTTCTGGGGTGCTCTGGCAGGAAAGGCTTTGATTCCAGAGAGGCCCTTGGCTCTTTAAGGACTGGAAAGACAGGTCTACTGTGAACAGGATAAGGGAGCACTGGTTCTCTCCATAAGAGACAAAATAGGACAGTGGGAGTTGCATGCAGGTATGGAAGGGACAGTAAAGACCTCCTATATTGAGGGTTTGTCTTCATGAGGTTTGAAAGGTGCATTTGACATGATCTAACAATGCACCTTTACACCCTAGTCAAGGTGAATCCTTTTAGTTGAGTCTTTTGCGTGCGATTACGTAGTCTGAGCACAAGACTGGTAATCCAGGCTCGGACCCCATGGCCTTGGACAAGCCAGCAAGAGCCTGATCCATCTCCTGTTGCATTCAATGAAAACACTTCCATTCACTTCAGAGAGATTTGAGTCAGATCCCTTGTACTAGCTGAGACTTAAAATAAAATGCAGAAATCAATATGGAATTTGAGCCTGAGAAATGTTTTCTGCCTTTCTTTTATTTCATAGCAAAATGCTATTGATTGGACACCATTAATAAAGAGGTAAAATAATATGTAAGCAAAACTTTTAAGTCCTAGCTTTGCAGTACATGATTGTACTTTCAGTGATTTTATAAAAAGATTATGTCTAGTATTTGTTAACTCGTTAGGATTCTGCCAGCCTTACACTTGCCTGTCTCACCTTGGTCTCAGGAGCAACGCCTGTAGAGTCATGCAAGTGGATGAGACCATCAGAACAGGGTTCTTTAATACTGGGCACATCTGCTATCTCTCCTAAAACACTGTGTCATGGGGAGAAACAGAGGGGCAGACCCCAAGGAGCTGGGGGGGAACCCTGGGGTCAGGAAGCCGCCAGGGAAGGCAAAAGCAAAAGGAAAGAAACAAAAAACTTCTTGCCTGTAGCAGGATCTGCAGCAAAGCTGAAAATGGAGGCAGGACCCAAGCGGCTCATTAGCCGCACCTTTATACAGCTGCGGCCAGCAGATAACGCTGGCAGTAAGAGCCTGCCAGCGGATATAAAAAGAGCCACTGGCAAGGAAGCAGGGCAGAGACTTGCAGGGTCCTTAACAGGGAGGTTCCTCCCAGAGCCCCTACGAGGGTAAAAGGGGTGGGAAGCTGCTTCTCCCAACACGGGGGAATGCAGCAAAGCCCGCCGCAGGAACAACGCTGCCAGCAGCAGCACAGGGAGTGAGGAAGCTGTCGTCCCTCGCTCAGACCAGGGACCCGGCCCTGTAGACCAGAAAGAACGGAAAGAGGGTGACGCCAGGGGCTACTACCGGGGAGCTGGAGGGAGCAGCAGCCACCAGGACACCAGACCAAGTGGGATTGTCGCAGGCTCCGGTGGGCTTGAGGAGATGCCCCAGGTGGGAGACGAAGGGCATAAGCAGTGCAAGAGGCTGCAGAAGCCAGGCCCCAGTGGTGTAGAGCCCCCCCAACGAGGGACGTGTGGGAGGCGTGCGGAGAAGGGCCACCACGGGTCCAGCGAGCCCACAGGCGGGTCAAAGAGTGAGGAGGAGAGCGCTGGAGCTGGCAGTCTAGCCAGGTCCCAGTTTACGGCTGCCTAGGGACCTTGGGCATCTGAGGCCTGGCATTGTTGAGCTAGCCGCAAGTGTAGAGGGCAAGAGGGCAGAGACTCTCCCCTTTTTGTGCACATCGTCATATTTTGTTTGTTGTTGATAACGTTTCTTTTGTTTCCCACCTTGGGAGGGGTTGTGGTGCAAGGTATCTAGGGACCAGGTGTTGCTTAAGACCAGGAGGGGTTGCTATCACCTGGGAGGCCAGGCAGTAGTAAGGCACTGTGGGCGGAGGTAGGGTTAGGCCCCGCGGGCTGATACAACCATCCCCAGCGAGCATCTGCAGAACCCCAACAGTCAGACAAACCAGCCGAAGGACATCGTGAACCTGTCAAGGCAGGGTGGGAGGGCAAGGTAGAGGGGAGGTGGAGGCTCGCAGAAGATCATCATCCAGCTGTCCCATACTCGCGAGAACCCCAGCAGTCGGACACCCCACCACTGGAATAAGATACAAAGTCATGGCAGGCAAGACTGGGGGAGAGACTACTCAGGAGAGAGACATCCACTCGGCGGGACAGCAGGGACGGACAGGCAAACACCCCCGAGCATCCAGGGCCGCGTGGCGCGTGACCGGATGTTCAAGACCAGACGGGCACACGCTGAGTAAATCCAGCAGCTACATTCTCAATGGCATTAAAGCTTCCATTTTGTTAGATCTAAAAATATACCTCCGATGACAGCTGGCCAACACTGAAGGATATCCTCGTATACACGTGTTTCAAAACCTTACATCCTGGAGATGCACAGCGTTGCATTTTATTTCATCTGCTGGGTGTTGGAGTGAACTTAATCAGCTAAATGCCAATCTATTCCACCCTGTTCAAGTCCTGAAAAATCCATAGATACATCTACCGATGTAACAGGCTATCAGGACTTGTAGTAGAGATGATATCTTTTATTAGACCAACAAGATTTTTGCAAGAAAAGTTTATTTAATTGCAAGCTTTCAGGTGCAAACACCCTTCATCAGGCATTGGAGAAAAGATTGTAAAAGTTCTCTTTTCTCCAGTGCCTGATGAAGGGTGTACAATCTTTTCTCCAATGCCCGATGAAGGGCATTTGTGCCCAAAAACTTGGGACTAAAGAATTTCTTTGGAAAAATCTTGTTGGTCTTATAAAAGATATCACCTCTACCACAAGTCCTGATTGCCTTTTCATAGTTTCATAGTTTCTAGGGTCGGAAGGGACCTGAGCAGATCATCTAGTCCGACCCCCTGCCATGGCAGGAAGAGCACTGGGGTCAAATGACCCCAGTAAGGTGGTCATCCAACCTCCTCTTAAAAACCCCCAGGGTGGGAGCCTGCACCACCTCACTTGGAAGCTGGTTCCAGACCCTAGCCGCCCTGACCGTGAAGTAGCGCCTCCTGATGTCCAACTTAAACCTTCCCTCCGCCAGCTTGTGACCATTGTTCCTGGTCACTCCTTGCGGCGCTCGGGGGAACAGGGACTCCCCCAGCGCCTGCTGATCCCCCCTAACCAGTTTATAACAGGCCACAAGATCCCCCCTCAGCCTTCTCTTTTGAAGGCTGAACAGGTTCAGGTCCCGCAACCTTTCCTCATAGGACCTACCCTGCTGTCCCTTGATCATACGAGTGGCCCTCCTCTGGACCCTCTCGATGCTGTCCACATCCCTCTTAAAGTGCGGCGCCCAGAACTGGACGCAGTACTCCAGCTGCGGCCTGACCAGTGCCGCATAGAGGGGGAGGATCACCTCCTTGGACCTGCTCGAGATGCATCTGTGGATGCACGACAAGGTGCAGTTGGCCTTCCTAGCCGCCTCCCCACATTGCCGACTCATGTTCATCTTGGAGTCAATAATGACTCCCAGATCCTTTTCCACCTCCGTGCTGACAAGAGGGGAGTTCCCCAGCCTGTATGTGTGGTGCCGATTGTTCCTCCCCAGGTGCATCACCTTACACTTGTCTGTGTTAAACCCCATCCTGTTCTCCTCCGCCCATCCTTGTAACCTATCTAGGTCTAACTGTAGCCTGTTGCTCCCCTCTATTGTGCCCACATCCCCCCACATCTTAGTGTCATCAGCAAACTTGAACAGGGTGCTTTGCACCCCCTCGTCCAAATCACTGATGAAGATATTGAACAGTGCAGGCCCAAGGACCGAGCCCTGTGGGACCCCACTTCCCACGTCCTTCCAGGTCGAGAAGGACCCATCCACTACCACCCTCTGGGTGCGACTCTCTAACCAGTTGGCGACCCATTGGACTGTATGGGTGTCTACGCCACAGTCCCCCAGCTTCCTAATGAGAATGGGGTGAGAGACAGTATCAAAAGCCTTCCTGAAGTCTAGGAAAACTATATCCACTGCCACCCCTGCATCCAATGATTTAGTGACCTGGTCGTAAAAGGCCACCAGGTTGGTCTGACAGGACCTGCCGCTGATGAACCCGTGCTGGTTGCCCCTGAGCATGCCGTTCCCTGCTGGCCCCTCCTGGATGCGTGCCAGAATAATTTTCTCGAACAGCTTGCCCAGGATCGAGGTAAGGCTGACTGGCCTGTAGTTCCCCGGGTCCTCTTTCCTCCCCTTTTTGAAGATGGGAACCACGTTGGTCCTCTTCCAGTCCTCCGGCACCTCTCCAGAGCACCACGAGTGTTCATAAAACCGCGCCAGGGGACTTGCAATGACCCCAGCCAGTTCCTTCAGGACTCTAGGGTGAAGATCATCCGGGCCGGCTGACTTAAAAATGTCCAGCCCCTCCAGAAGCTCCCTAACTAAATCCTCACTCACTCACTCTCTTTCCTCGAGACCAATACAGGTACAACCTGGATACCTATGTAACAGGCTGTCATCTAACCCTTAGAAATGAGTAAAAAAAAGTAGTAAGGAGAAAGATCCACCCACCTTTTGTATTAGTTTCTCAGGGACTTGAGCAGGATGGGATAGGATCACATTTAGGTGCCTAAGTCCACTGGGCCTAAGAGGTGGAATAGAATCTGGTCCATTGTTCCTTGGTTTCACTTTCTCCTTTTAAGAACATGTTTCCTGTCTCTGAAAAGAGCTGACACCCAACCCTCTTGAGATACCACAGAAAGGATGATCGAGACAAATAGGTTTTCCTACATTCAGAAAACTTGTTTGTTCCAGAGCTCCTGGATCCGGTGTTGGTCCTGCAGTGTGTTTCTGAGAGCACAGCATGCATGTGACAGCAGAGCAAAGCACTTCTTATCAAGCATGAACAATACACAACGGGGTAAATCCCACCTTTGCATGTACTCAGCACCCATCGACTTCAAAGTAATGCTGTACAGAGGCTCACATTGAGTCACAAAGCTCTCCGAAATCAAGCTGAGCTTGGGGTTCTCCTATGAACATTCAGTGGGTTTGAGTCACGTTGCACAGCCCTTGTGTCTTAAGCTTAGAGTGTTTTATGGAACAGATCCTGAGTGCCAGGTGCCCTTGCTTTGCATTGGCTTTAGCTAGTGTAAATCAGCACAACTCCTGTGATTTCAACTGATTTACACCAGGTGAGCATTTGTCCTAGTGAGTGCTGAGAACCTGCGAGGTTGTACTGTGAGTGCCTGATTCCTTGTTACGCTTTTCTAGCCACAAAGATGTGCAGAGACCTTGTTTCAAGTGTGTACATATGCACTTTAATGTGCATTTGCCTATTTTAACACGCGTTAGTGTCACAAAAAAGCGTGCTTTTGCTAATGCAAGTTAAAATAGGCTAATGTGCCTTTTTCCTAGTACCGCACAATGGAGGTAATAAATTATCGCGCATTTCCAAAAGTACAATGATGAACATGAACAATTGCTGCAAATTCACTTTCCAAAACCCCAAAATCTAAGCAGCCTGGAAAGAAGGGCGGTTCCCATCCCCTGCAGACAGAGCCCAAGGGACTCGACTATGCCTATATTAACTAATAACAAGGCTCATTTTAGGGCAGTACTTGCTGCAGTTGTCATATCTTGTAACTTAATGCAAAAACAGGACTGGAATAACCTTGACCTTCATGGCAGTAACCGCACGGTGACATGCTTGGTGATCATACTGGTCTGTAGAGTGCTTGCACCTCGCGCCTACATACCTATAGCTCTGGCTGCTGCCCTTGTATCTGAACAGCGTTATCAGAGCGTGTGGAAGAGCTGGGTTTCCTCAGACATGATGCTGCCATCCATCAGCCTTCAGCAATTCCCAAAAAACTATTTGGCTTTCCTGTATCATACTGGCCTACACTTTTCAGCTTTGTAATAGTGCAGAACAGCAAAGAACATATTGAGTTTTGCATTGCCATATTATACATACGAAAGACCACACTTTTAAAAAAGGCCTCTGCCTTTTCAGATACGAACTTTGATGACTGCAGATTTTTGGATGAGGCACTAAACTACCAGATTTGTACCATGGTAACCATCTATGCCTGCAAACACAGTGCTCACTTGAGCAGACTTGAAGTAAGGCCAGGTGAAAACTGGGCCCTGATGAATCCACCCAGAACCCAAGGATCTCCACTGACTATAAGCACTGGAATCTCCATTCAGATCAAATAGCAGCTGATCATATAACTTTAACAAAATGTAGAGATCTACAGAGAGTAATAGATAATGCACTTGGCTACTAGCAGCTTAAATCCAGAGTGGCACCCTCACTGGCAGAATCTGGTAGACTGGTTTTATAGAGCTAGCAAGATAACAACATCGACGGCTAACTCACTCATGTTACACCGATAGCAGGAGGAGAATCTGGGTCACTGCACAGAAATCTCTGTTTCTAATAGGAATGGGGATTCCACCTGTATAATCAATGGAGTTATCCCAGCTTCACACCAGTATAACTGAGAGAAAAAAATCCATCACAGTAAGTAGAAAATTGAACGTGCTTTATATGAAAGGATATGGAATAAACATGATGTTTTTTCCCCCCCAGTCGTCTCCACTAAGAAGCCGCTATGCTGTCCTGAGCAGTCAGATGAGGCACTCCAGCCTGTCTGTAATCTACTACAGTGTTCTCCTCCAGATGTGTAAGGCTCATGGCATTGGATTTGATGTCCAGGTAAAAAAGGAAAAAGTTATAACAAGTGTAACGTTTGCTCTGCATAACTTGGTATATGGAAATTCCAGTCCCCTGAAATGGGACTGTGGCAGGGCACTGAGGTGCCTGCTACTTGTGGAGCAATAAGTAAGGAATCCAGCTGTGGGTTGCCAGGGTAACTGATGGGAGTCAGCTGACCGGAAGGGGCAGGGCCTGGCTCCCTTATAACCCCAGGCTGAGGCCAGGCAGGGAGTTCCCCGCCGGCAGCCAAGGGAGAAGCTTCACTGCATGAGCAGCTCCTGATTGCTGTTATGGGGTGGAGAATTCCCTGGTAGGGATTGAATGTTGTTTAGCTGGATGGCTTAGATTTTATGTTATAGCCTAGGGGCTTGTGTTTTCTGTTTGCTGTTTAGACCGGTGGTTTGGGTGAGGCTATTAGGGGTTGGAGGAGGCCTCATACGGGACCCCGGCGCCTGCGAGGGCACAGCATTTTGGGTGCACTGACCCCGGCGCCTGCGAGGGCGCAGCACTTTGGGTGTGCTAGCCCTGGTGCCTGCAAGGGCACAGCACTTTGGGGTGTATGGACCCCAGCCCCAGAGAAGGGGTGCAGAGTTGGAGGCCAGGTAAGGCCGAGGCCACCTGAGCCAGGAGGGGTTTTGAGACCCCCAAGGAGGTTAGGGCTAGGCACGGCTAGGGCCACCTGAGCCCACCTGAGCGAGAGAAGCCTTAGAGCCAAGGGGGCCACGGGAGAAGCCCAGAGCCAAAGGGGCAGTGAGAAGCCCCGGAGAGGGGGGGCAGCATTGACAAATGCCCAGTGAGGCGCCCAGCGGAGCAGGGCCATGGAGAGCCCAGGGAGGACGAGGGGGCCAGAATATAGTAAGGCCCAAACTAACCAATGTGAGTACCATCTGCGAGGCTTGGGCTGCGGTGTAAGGGGTGGAAAGGAGCTGCAGATAGTGCCCCCCTGGCATCGGGGCAGAAAATGGGCAGCCTCCCACTTAATTAACATCCTCTAATTAAGCAATTAATAACAAGTCATGGTAGGCGAGAAGGCAGGCGGTTGGCCCGTAACAGGTGGGCGGGGCACTAGTGGGCAGACCCCAAAGAGGCACACCTGTTACAGGGACGCAGGCAGAGTAAAGTCGCATGAACGTGGTGGTTGCAGGAGTTTGTTGGTAATAGGAGGATGGCCTGGTTGCAGTTTAACATGCAATTCTTTTTGGCAGACTTTCTGAGACTGATTTCATAGACATTAAGGCTGGAAGGGACCTTGGGAGATCACCAAGTCCAACCCCCTGCCCCAGGGGCAGGAAGTCAGTTGGGGTCACAGGATCCCAGCAAGATAAACGTCCAAATGCTTCTTAAAGGAGTCCAGAGTAGGTGCTTGCCCCACCTCTGGGGCGAGTCTATTCCAGGCCTTGGGGGCTCAGACAGTAAAGAGGTTTTTCCTTATGTCCAGCCTGAAACGGTCTTGGAGGGGTCTGTGACCGTTGGACATTGTCATCCCTTGGGGTGCTCTGGTGAACAGACGTTCCCCCAGATCCTGATGCATGCCCCTGCTGTACTTATAGGCAACCAACAGGTCCCGTGAGCCTGCGCTTTTCCAGGCTGAAGAGTCCCATGGCTCTCAGCCTCTCTTCATAAGGTCTGTTCTCCTGCCCTCTGATCATGCACGTGGCTCTCCTCTGGAATCTCACAAGCTTCTCCACATCCTTCTTGAATTGTGGAGCCCAGAATTGGATGCAGTACTCCAGCTGTGGCCTCACCAAGGCCGAGTACAGTGGGAGGATGATACCCTAAGACTTACTTGAGAAGCATCGGTGGATGCAAGCCAGAGTTTGGCTTGCTTTACCAGCTGCAACATCGTATTGGTGGCTCATGTTCATCTTGTGGTTAATCATGACCCCCAAGTCCCTTTCAGCCTTGGTGCTAGCAGCCAAAATGTGTGAAACCTATTTATGCCACCTTGTGCTCTGCTTGGGGGCCCCAGCTGAGTGGCACATCCTGCCCAGTGTCTGCCAAAACCCAAAAATGAGGCAGCGAAGCCTCCTTAAAACAGCCCTAAACACATACCCCAAGCTATTCTCAGACTCTGTTTCAGGCGTGCTTCTTGCCATGCAGGCAGAGATGCCCCAAGACTCCTAGACTGCCTTATTCCCAGGATTTGGTGCATCCTGAATGTGTAGGCAGGGCATATTTTTTGATGATATTCAGGTGCTGTTTGGAAACAGTGTAGACAAGCCCCTGCATAACAAAGGTGTTTTTTTAGCAGGCCCTATATTATAAATAAGGTTAGTTTAGCTACAGGTCTTCTGTTGGCTTCCTTTAGATGTAGTATAGTTAGATTTGGCAGGATTCACTTTTTATTGGCAAACAATGATTTCACCTCACACTCACAGAGCGATGTAAAAATATCTCCATTGTTAATAATCAAAATTCATAGAAAGGGAGCATAAGAAAAATGATGGCTGATGGAGTGTGTGATGGTGATGATGGGGGAGCAGTCCTAGAGAACGGTGCCAGGTGTAGTTTGGACTGCAATTCCCAGAAACCTCAGGGGACTGGGAACAAAGGAAGAGGAAGTGGCAAAGCAGACAAGGGAGCTACGGGTGAGTGGAGCTGGGACTGATGGCAGCTCTGCCACTCAGCTGGCGGCAGCCCTACAGTAGTTACGTTTGTCGCGGCAGGCGGTTAAACTGCACGATAATAACAGTACACTGTAACTGATAAATCGTCTGCCTCGCACATACTTAATTTCGTGGAATCCTGAAAATTTAAATCGATAAAAATCTGAATAAATGCTTAAAAGTAAACATCAATATTAGCCGTCAAAATGATTAAAAAATAAAAATCAAATGCTGCCAAGCCTAAGTATATTATTGACTCCTTGAAAGCTATAGTGCTGTGGGTTTTGCATTAACTAGCTACATAGGAAGTGCAGATGATTTTGTAAAAGAGGGGAAGAATAAGATGATAAGAAAAGGCAGATGATAAAGGTGAACAGTAGGAGAGATGAGAAAGAAAGAAACCTCTTCCTTCATTGGAGAAGGGAGAGCTAAAGGATTATGAATAGAAGGAGGATATATCAAGAGAGGAGAAAAAGAAATAGGCTAGTGGGTAAAATGAAGATAAAAGCTGGTATTCAGAGGAAAAATAGCAAATGGAAAGAGGTCTTAAGGGGTGGAGGGTTTCATCATGAAATCTACAGTCATCCTTCAAGCTGTCCCACTCTAAGCCTTCTCTGGGATGGGCTGTTATATCAGGAAATTTTTCCATGTTCCTAGTAACCGTCATGGCTCAATACATCTAACTATTAGGCCCCATGAATTTTGTTGGTGAACCTATTGACTCAGAATGAATTGGAAGGCGTTATGATAGTTCATGTTAACTCAGCACCTAAGAACAACTGTAGAAACTTATTTTAAGGAGCATGAAAAACTAAAGTAATTTCTACTGTACTAAGAATTTAGTGTTTTTACACATCATCTTAAATGAGCTGGACCACGTACAGGTCAAGTTTGAAAGTATCCATTCGTGTTCATCCCACACTGTAGAGGGAACAAAATATTTATTACTGAGTAGTAGCCTTGAAATATGTGTATTTGGATTTACAGAAAATTACCACTTTCTGTTCTCAAGTATAAATTACTTAGGTTATGCTTACTAATGATCCATTACACACATTTTAAAACTAACCTTTCTTTAATTACGTGATTATGTACTTACTTTCCATGTACAGTACATTTTAGACATCTGTAATTGGAAGTGTTGTTTTCAGGAACAATTAAAATAAAGGTTTTTTTTCAATTTAACAGGAAAAACAAGGAACCATTTTTATGCTCTATGAAGACCGCAGGCGATACAGATTGGGAATGATGTGAGTACACACTGTAAATTAAATAACTGGATAAATTGGTGGAAAGTTTTTAAACTGAAGAAGGTGAAAAGACAGAGTATTGATGTCATGGATTTTAATAAAACTGATGATGTACTTGAAGGCAATGTAGTGTTCCAGTGATGGTCACCTGTTACTCAGAAACTCTGACTCTCAGTAGGGGTATGTGAAGCTAGCCCTATTGGATTCGGATTTGGATTCGACCCGAATCAGGGACAGTGATTCAATTCGTGAATTCGGATCACTGTCCCCGATTCAATTCGACTGAATCCAGATCTGAAGATTTGATGCTGATTTGGAGAATCAGCGAGTCAGCCATAGATACAGCTTTAAATGTTTTTTCTACGTACTTGGAGGTACCAGCGCAGCTTGTGATTGCTGCAATGCTGGGATGGATGGAGCGTCCCATAGGAGTGTGGGTGGCCCTCCACGTGCTCGGCGGTGAACCTGGAAGTGTTCTGGGTCTGCCAGGGAGCGTGCAGGGAGGGCCCCCCACATTCCCCTGGCTCGGCAATCAGCTGTGGGGGGACCTCGGGTGCCCCCCCAGACCCAAGAGGCACCAGTCGCTGAGCCAGGGGAATGCAAGGGGCTCCCCAGTGGACCCAGAAGTGGACCAGAAGTGCTTCTGGTCCACTGCCAAGCACACTGGGGAGCCTCATGTGCTCCTGTGGGACGCTCCATGCACCCCAGCATCGCTGTATTCACAAGCCCCTGCTACCTAGAGGTATGCAGAAAAAAACATTTAAACCAAATCTTTCCAAATCTCTCCAATCTCGATTCACAGGGTTCTGATTCGATTTGATTCAGATTCAGGATCCTGATTCGATTCAGAGATTCATGCACCGAATTAGGCTGAATCTCTGCCGAATCGAATCGGGGACTGAAGCTTCACACAACCCTAACTCTCAGTAAGACTGCCAGGCTGCAGACAGGGAAAGGCTTTGGTAAATGACTAACAGAGTAAGCAGTTGTCTGTCTTGCAGCCTGCAATCAGTGTGAAGATACCCAAGCCAGCTTGACACGAGCTCATTTGGGTACAAGTAGCAGTCTAGGCATTGCAGTATTTGAGCACTGCATGGGCTGTATTACTTTGCCTCTTGGCAGCTCCACCTGGAGCTCTGTGCAGCAATATCTGGACTGGCACTAGTATCCAGTGAACTAGTTTAGTTTGAAGCTAGCTGGGGAGTCCCTACACCAAGGTTGGGCAAAATGGTGGATCTGGCCAGCAACTGGACTCCATTTCCCAGCAGCTGCTGCCCACATGGCTGAGGCTGGTCTCCATGGAGACCCCAGCCACAGTTGCACGGTGATAGCACAAGGCTGGGGTTGCCATGAAGACTGGCCCTAGACACGCTGGTAGGGCACATGGCAGGAGAGGGCAGGGGGCTGTTCCAGACCGACTGGGATCTTGCAGTGTGGGCAGCTTGGTTGAGGCTAAGACAGAGCCATGATCTGCAGCCTGCGTGCTCTGGGCAGGGGCGCACAGGCAGCAGATCATGGCTCTGCCCTGGCTTGGAACCACGCTGTCACCGCTGCAAGGAGCCAGGGCAGAGCCATGATCTGCTGCTTGTACACCCCTGCTGGAAGCATGCAGGCTGCAGATTGCAGCACTGCCCTGGGCCCAACAAAGCTGCCCCTACTGCAAGCTCCCAGTGGCTCTGGAGCAGCGCCCTGCCTTGTCCTGTGACACGTGCCCTGCCAGTGCGGCTGGGGCCAGTCTCCATGGCAACCCCAGGCTTGTGCTATCACAGCGCAGCTGTGGCTGGGGTCTCCATGGAGACTGGCCCCAGCCATGAAGGTAGGGGCTTCTGGGAAATGGAGTCCACTGCCAGCCAGGACTTTGCCTGCCCTGCCCTACACTGTGCTACTGTCTGCAGAGTAAATGTAGCTTGAGCTAGTGCAGTTTGTGGATCAAGGAACTGCAAGAGAAATTAGAAGGATAATTAAGTAAATGAACCTCAGCTGAACATGGGACGGGATTGGGTGGTAAGGGGTAGCCATGACCCCTTGCCTCTTCCTCCTGACCATGTGAGGTGGCCAGTCCTAGACATGCACGCATACGTACGTCTTTGTATGAATGTGTCCTCTTATGGGTTGTCATAGTAGCTGTACAAGTACTTGTATCACTTGCATAAGTGTAAGTCTCTAGGGTGTACGAGTTCATTTATTTCTGACCTCATGCCAACAACACCTAATTCCCTGGAGAGCTCTCAGATGCATTTGTCACCCTGACGTAGCATGTGCTGTCCATACTGCCAGCCATGCAAACTCACTGGGTCTTACACTTTGTGATCCATGTTTATCCCTCCAACAAGACTGCAAAATAGGAGGCAACCCACATCTTTCATTTGGAAACAGTTGCAAGAATGCAGCAGTTTGGTTCAATTTGTAACACCATTGAAATAGCTCATCTGTATAATTAATCTTGCACTATGCTCATGTTCATTGCTGCTGTGGTCCACTAAAGAAGGCTCGTTTCCCCTCAACATAGGAGGCTACAGTGAGGATCTGTATATATTCCTAAGAGACTGCAGCACCAAAGACTAACGTTGATGCTTCTAAGTATGACACAGCTCTCTGAGAAATGTTTGTGAAGTTTTAATGTCTGCATGTCCAAATATGCTCTATGCATGAATTGTATCTCAATATGCATGGGGCAGCAACAATGCTTTTAAACTAATTTAAATGTTAAAATAATGTGCTAGTGCCACTGTCCTAACTCAGTGGTAGCCTTCTGCTTAGAATAGCTGAACCCACTGCTCTCCTCTGCTAAGTTGATTAATAAAAATTATTTATTACACAAATCCTTTCTGTTGACAAGTTAAAATGGAGCCTCATCTTTCATATCTCCCTGAAGATTGCCACCTTGTGAGATTGAAAATACTCATTAAATTCCATCACCAGACAGGCACAAATGAGAGGGTGATTGTTTCTAAGCATGTGAAGGAAATCATTGGTAAACTCATTTGTTTGGATATCATTAACAGAACAATCGGAGAGGATCTCCAGGGGGTCCTCATGACCTTTGCTCGCAATCTCTTCATCATCCATCAAGAAATATCAGCACCTAATATGCAAGGCGAGACCAATTTTAAGGTGAGGTGTTAATTAACTAACGATCCTGGTTAATTTCTGTACAAGGGCTGAAAATACCTCATGCTGTATCGTAAACAAGTGCTAAACCATTCCTGTTTTATTGTTAGCAGTACATATTTTACAGTGTCTAAGTCAATATAGTAAGTCTCCCAGTGAACTCGTTAGTTAAATTTAATAGTTTGAAACTTTTTCTTTAAAAGCAGAGAGGTTCTAGCATGAAACACCAAATCCTTGGAATTTCTCTTGTAAAGGTAAAGAAGCCCACCTTGCTGCTGTAGGTAATTGTCACAGGCTATAGGTAATTGCCTCTGGTTTCTTTTTAAAGGGATACAATCAAGATGACAAATTAAAAAACAAGCATCCCCATTTTACTAATAACCACTTGGATTATTACATTATTTTAAGAAATCCAACCCACCTTCCAGCAGCTAATCAGCTGCTTTAGCCCTTGCATGTCACCTTGAACACTGAGATAGATTATTCAATTTCATTTTTGTTTCCTTCATCCAACCTCCTCTGGACAAAACCAGCCCACCTCGCCCAACCTCCTGCGCCAGGAGACGCTGCAAAGTCGAGACAGAGCTGCTGAGTTGGTCCTTGTAGCTTAAGGTTTTCTGTACTGGCAATGTTCCCCAAAGAATCGTTGGCGCTTGCTCTGTCACTCTTTTGTGCCAGTCTACTTTTTTAAAAGAGACTGTGGAGTGATAATGAATCCAGCCCTGTGCTCAGCCTTGTCTATTTGCTGGCCCCGACCAAAAATAGTACATGCCAGCTAAGACCTGAAAAACAAGCTGACTATAAATGGTATATTTAGGAGATAAGACATTCAACCTGCAAGAGGAAATAAATTGTAAAACTACAAACCTACCATTGGAACTACAATAAATTGTAACCTACAAGCAAGAGCACAGACTGCCAATACGATAAATATTTACAGCCTCGGTTGGCAAGGCGGTTCTTCCCTTGTCCCGTACCAACTTTTCAATCCAAAGAGTAGCATAACTTTCCAGCAGCTATTCTCCTGCTAGCTCATATGCCCCTTCGCTTTACATCTGGACCGTAGGCATTTTGTTAAAAGTTATGAGGGCACCTTGTTTATCAATTTGTGCTCTTACTCACAGGGAATAAGTTTAAAACAGATTCTTTTAAATGGTAAGTCTGTTTGTTCCTGTGCTGAGCAGAGTGTGAAATCACATTTTTCAGGTAAGATCTAATTACGTTTCACCATGTGTGGCAAAGTGGGGCTCCCTGACTAGGCACAGTGCTAGTTTCCCCACTTGCCTTTGGGCACACCACCCACCTGTCTCACCTGCCATGCCTTGTTGCTAATTAATTAGAATATTAATTAAGGTGGGAGGCTGCCCATTCTTGCCCCAGTGCCAGGGGGTGCTATCTGCAGCTCCGATCCTCCCCTGTACCGCAGCCCAAGTCTCGCAGATGGCATCCAGACAACACAGTGATCCTGGCCTACAGCCAGACCAAGGTTAGGCCTCGTCATCAGGCCTCAGTCACACACACGTTCATAGCGCCCTCCTCTCACTAGGGCCTCTCACACTCCACCCTCTCGCAGGGTCTCTTTCATGCCTCGACAACTTATTCTCCTTACTTCAATAGCGGTCCTCCTCATTTGCCCTGGACAGCAGAACCCAGCTCGCTGTCCTGAAGGAAGGCA